AAACATCTCATTTTGTTCCCAACAAGTCTTTTAAAAGCCCTCTAACTATCTGTCAGTTGATTCCCTGAAGCCCTTTGTCCACCTGCTCTGCCATCAGGAGCTACAGAAGCAGAAATAAGATTAAGTGAAGAGTAGCTGGATTTATGTTGAGGTCCTTGATCCACTTGGACTTAAGTTTTGTGCACGGTGATAGATATGGATCTATTTGCAATCTTCTACATGTTGACTGACATCCAGTTTTGCCAGCACCATTTGTTGAAGATGCTTTCTTTTTTCCATTGTGCACTTTTGGCTTCTTTGTCAAAAATTATATGTTCATAGGTGTGCGGATTAATGTCAGGGTCTTCAATTCGATTCCATTGGTCCACATGTCGGTTTTTATGCCAGTACCAAGCTGTTTTTATTACTGTAGCTCTATAGTAGAGCTTGAAGTCAGGGATCGTGATGCCTCCAGAGGTTGTTATTGTACAGGATTCTTTTGGCTATCCTGGGTTTTTTGTTTTTCCATATGAAGTTGAGTATTATTCTTTCCAGGTCTGTGAAGAATTGTGTTGGTATTTTGATGGGGATTGCATTGAATCTGTAGATTGCTTTTGGTAAGATTGAAAATTCTATCTTCTTTTCTAGCTCTTCAAATGCATGGGTTTGTGTGTTTGTGTGTACATGTGTTGAATCTGTGTATTGTATGATGTAGCATAAATACTTTAAGTTTCAGAAAACAGCTTTCAAATTCTATGAATATTATTGTATTTTTCTATTTACATATATTATCTGTAACATTATTATTCTACATATTAAAGGTTATTTTAACAGGAAAAAAAAAGATTAAGTGAAGAGATCTTTTGGTGTTTCCACCCCAATTCATGCCACGCTTTAAATACTGACCATTAAACACTTACCAGAACTCCTTACTTTCCTTAGAAGAGAGCTGGAAAGCCCTTTGCTGGCCCTCCCCAGCCCCGCCCTCCAGCAGGGATGCAAAGGCTGCCTCTCTAAAGCCATGCTCTAAGAAGGAACTACAGGAAGTGGGTAGCCAGATCAAAGATCTTAGGAGCGCCGAGCTGGGCTACTGACATAAGGTGGCCACACCTTATGCTAAGCGCTGCTGGCGTTGACAGTACCTGTCTGGGGTTTTTGTTGACGCTCACCAGACAAGGTGGTGACAGCAGCTGCAGAGGAAGGGATCTTTTAGAATCAGCACACACTGAATATAAGTAAATGGTGAATGAACTCCTTTGGGGAAAACCATGTGTGTCTGGGGAAGACGAAGGAGGAGCCTCTAGTGCACTGGTTCCCGACCTTCCTAACGCGGCTGTTAGCTCCAGCAGTCTGCCACCAAGGCAGTTACGTCATGTGCACCCCTTAAAAGTGTCCGCCAGGCACAGCCCGCTTTTGACTCTTTTGTTCCTCTCTTGCCTCTCTTCTTCCTTTTGTCTCTTCCCTGTTCTGTCTGTCTGTCTGCCTCTCTCATGTCCCCACTTCAACACAGCCTATCACTCTTTCACTCCCCCCGCTTCCACCAATAAACCTCTTGTACTAACTCTTGCACGTGGTGTTTGCTTAGTGCACACCTTGGCAGGGCTGGAAAGGTACACATGTCGCCTTTCTTTCCTTTTTTTTAATCATTATGGCGAGCGACCCTTTAATACAGTTCCTCATGTAGTAGTGACCCCCCAATCATAAAATGATTTCGTGGCTACTCCATAACTGAAATTTTTCTACTGTTATGAATTGTAACGTAAATATTTGATATGAACCTCTAAAAGGGATCATGACCTACCGCTGAGAACTGCTCTAAACACACATCTCCCAACCAGAGACCACTGCAGGAATGCCATCAGCCTTTGCTAAGGTCAAGGGGTCTGGGTGTCTCTGTGTGACCACCCACTGACCAAGGAGGCCAAAGTCCCTGAACAGAGCAAATAACAGCAATAAGGTGGTGGATACTGCGGGGACATTAAAGAGAGAGCAAACCACATGACTTCCTTGTTCTAGATACACACAAAGCCTTGAATCATCAGCTCCTTGGGAAAATACTCATGTGGGATCTGCTTGGTACACCACAGATTTGCAAGAGCATCATGGTTCAACAGGTGAATGGGTTTCAGGGGGAAAACAGTCTTGTGCCGTTGGGTAGGTCGGTCGTTCATGCCCTAGCCTTCAATGAACAGCTGCAGGAATGCCTTCTTAGAATGAAAGCAGGTGACCCCCGCCAGGTAATTACACACTTGGCCATGAGACTGCCATGTGCTTGGCCTATCATGAATCAGCAATGTGCATAGGTCTTGCTGTTCCTGTGGGGCTGACTCCTCCACATAAATGAAAGCAGAACCTGTTTCCTTTAAGAATGGTCTCATTTTTAACTTTTACCTGTAATTCAGAAGGATGGAGTGACTGCTAAATGTAAATTTAAAAAATTACTTTTAAAAGGTGATTGCAACAAAACCAGGGCTTATTTCTGGGCGCAGGTCCCAAATGTCCCCAGTGGGAAGGAAAAGAGGCACCCAACACCTCGGGCTGCCTCCCTTACAAAGCAGGGCTTGGGGTGGAGGCAGCAGGTGCACAGGGCTGCCACAGAGGTGAACGGATTTAAGAGATGAAAGCCACTGTGGTGCTTGGGAGTTCCAGGCTTCTGAAAGGCCCCGGTTAGCAGCCCTCACCCCTCTGTCACCACTGGACAAGGGAGGCCTTGACAAACAGAGTGCTTTCTCTGTCAGCTCCCAAGCTGTTTACAGCTTTCTGCGTGGAGCTAATGTTGACTTCATTGATATTTATGGCTGAATAATGAGAATCAGATCTCCCTTTTGAACAACAGGCTTGGAAGGGAGCTGTTATTAAAAACAGGTCTCCAACCACACATATCTGCTCCAAATTTCTTTCCTTTTTTTTTTTGTTCTTTGAGACAGGGTTTCTCTGTGTAGCCCTGGCTGTCCTGGATCTTACTCTATAGACCAGGCTGGCCTCAAACTCAGAGATCTACCTGCCTCTGCCTCCTGAGTGCTGGGATTAAAGGTGTGTGCCACCACCACCAGCTTGCCCCAAATTTCTTAAACTGAAGGAGCCGGTGTGCCTCCCCCCCCATTAGAAACAAATGAAAATCTGAAAAAGAATCTTGCTGCTGAGCAGAGGCCCATTTGCAGTGGGGACGACCTTCAGCTGCCCCTGTGGGTTCACAAGAATTCCCTTCTGCTGTCTCTTGGAGTTCTGCCACTAGGGCCGATCTTTAAAATACTGTGAAGATCCTGTGCTAACCAAGCCGGTAACTAGGTGGGTCCGTGGGTCAGGGCAGGGCCTGAGGCCTGCAGTTGGAGAGCCTGAGTCTGCAGTGGGTTGTGTCTGCAGCCTCCACAAGCCTTGGGCAACTGTCTACTATCGGCCTTCACCTCGTGGGTGATGGAACTGAGGATCTGGTCTCTTTTCAGTTTCTTTTGAATCATTTAAAGAAAGAACGTGGTGTTTGTCAAGGTGGAAGCCCCAGCGCTTGCCATCCTTAGTGAGGGTCTGGAAGGCTCAGGACGAAGGTGGAGGTGCTGGATCACAGCAGAGATGCAGAACATGTTGGCCAACACCAGATGGTTTTGAAAAGTTGCCTGTGGTTTCACAGACCAAGGCTCCCAGTGATTTCTCCAGGACACTCAAAGGAGGTGAAATCAGGCCTGGGATGTGACACCAAGTCTCCTCCTGCTCCTGAGGGGAACCTTGAAGCATGCCATGTTCTTCCTCAGTCCAAGGAGGGTCTCAGGAGCAGTTAACACTCCCTTCCTGGTAATTTTAGTGTCTCTCACTGCCCACTTGAGGCAGGCTGGAAAGAACGTGGCTAAGGGGCTCACAGCAACCCGTGCTTCCTGTCTCACTGAGGGGCGTCTCGGGACATCACCTAGGTGTAGGGGGGCCTCCGTGTCAGTGTCCCTGGTAAGAGCTTCTGAGGTCAGCTCTCACAGGAATTCTTAGGAAAGTCTGTGAGAGAGCAGGCAGATCTGGCTTCTGCAGGGTTGAGTCGGCTTTCCCTTCTCCGCGCTGCCCACCACTCCTTTCTCTATCCTCCCCCCCCCCCCCCCCAGGTACTGCTGCCTTTGGCTCCCAGCTTCCCTGTGCTCATCTAGCTGCCCGTCCCTCCCCATCTCCACATTTAAATCTATCTGTCCTCAAATTCACAGGCTGTTTCTATCCTCCAAGTGCTCCTTGAGAATCCTGCCCTCATCTGACATTCCCAAGAACAAGGTCCATATGACCCATGCCCTGAGATGCCTTTTGGGTCCATTTTATCATCATCATCTGTCTTTTCTATCCCTACAGAGCTGGATGTATAGCTTCCGGCCAGCACTATACACAGTACATGGTAAATATTTGTTCAGTGAACAAATGTGGGAACACAAGACCAAACAGCAACTTCCCGTGTGCTAGCTTTAATCAAAACATCAGTTCAGTCATTGCTCAGAAGGAAAAACATCCATTAGAGAAAACAACAACAACAACAACTGAGTCAGGGTATGAGGTGCACTCATGGGGTGAGGAAAGCCACTACCTGCTACAGAGGCTGAGAAAGTTAGGTGACCAAAAGCATGGAGCTGGGAGATAGAAGGGAGGTGAGGAAGAGGTGGGAGATGGAAGGGGTAGGGGGTGGGGGGAGGTGGGAGATGGAAGGGGTAGGGGGTGGGGGGAAGTGGGAGATGGAAGGGGTAGGGGGTGGGGGGAAGTGGGAGATGGAAGGGGTAGGGGGTGGGGGGAGGTGGGAGATGGAAGGGGTAGGGGTGGGGGGAGGTGGGAGATGGAAGGGGTAGGGGTGGGGGGAGGTGGGAGATGGAAGGGGTAGGGGGTGGGGGGAGGTGGGAGATGGAAGGGGTAGGGGTGGGGGGAGGTGGGAGATGGAAGGGGTAGGGGTGGGGGGAGGTGGGAGATGGAAGGGGTGGGGGGAGGTGAGATGGAAGGGGTGAGGGGGAGCAACAGAAGCCTGGGCCTAGGACAGCTCCTCTAAGCCTTGGCCCCCACACAGAGCCAACCTGTAGAGCTGGGGACCGTCCCATGCGACGAATCAGACTTTTGGGATAAAAGAAATCAGATGAAGAACGCTGAATGTTTGGTGGCTGCCATGAAACATGAGAGAAAGGAAGAGTCAATAACAAAATAGCCCCATTCCGAAATACTATGAAAAGTAAGTAAAAAGACTGAAGGAAAACCAGGAGGAATCAGTGACTGACAGACTCATGGGCCACTCCAGGGGTCAATTGGGGGCCCATATTAAAAGTATATTAACGGGTCTTCAAATGACAGTATATTTATCCACATATATTTATCTACATTATGACCCCCTCATTGGGTCCTCTTGACCCTAAGACTGTTGCTACAAACGCCCTATGAGGTGTTAAATGTCAAGAATGTTCTTCACTCTGGGGTTGCCCAAAGATTCCTCAAACATTTTCATTTTGCTATGGAAACTGCTCTAATTTGACATGTGGGAAAAGGCCTGGAAATCTTGGCTCAAGATGTGTGTGGAGACACGCCCTTAAAGAGCCTTAAAGAGATTAATTCCTCTGTTGAAAATGTTCTCCCCTCTCAGCCTCACCAGCATAAGCCTGCACCCCACCCTTACTACTGTGTTTCCAGAAGACAGTGAGCTAGAGCCAACCTGCCCCCCAAGGAGGGCATCATGGAGAAGAGCTCTGGTATTTTCTGGAAAGCTCACCAAAGGAACAAAACAAGAAGAAACTCCTCTCTGCCAGAATGCGCAGAATACTTCACTAGTTTCCCCACAAGCCTTCTAGAGAGTTCCATGGAGACATGTTCCAGTTTGTGTTGTTTTCAGTCATGTTAGGAAGAGGGTCTGCAAACCCCAGCTATCCTGACAGAAATATGCGCATTCCATCAGTCTGGCCTCATTATCATTCCTCCCGAAGACTTCATCAGGGATGAAGTTAAAAGAAAAAAAGGTTCTTTAGAAAACAAAAAGCTACTCTGTAGAGAGGGTGAGAACAATGTGCTACTTGGGTGGTTTGTGGGCAGGAGTTCCAATTAGGCCACAGTTTTACATTCTTAGAGCAAAAGTCTCCACAAACACCAGCTCTAGCGTTCTGGGAAGGTAGTCTGTTGCCTAAACACCCATGCTTCCTCTAAATTCCAAGCTCTGCCTGCCTGGTGGGTGGATGGACTTGGGGGTCATTAGCTATGTGTATAAACTGGAGCAGTATACCAGAGGCAGGGAAAACCACCCCAACAGTGGTGGGCAATCCCTCTGCTGCCCCCTTGACATCACACAGCTCATGCCAGCATGAGCCTGGCCTAAGGCTTTACACCTGATTGGCTGGCACCTTTCGGAGCTAGAGGCTGCTCTTCTAAACTTGGATTTTAGAGGTCAGCAAAACACACCAGAGCTGGGCAACAGGTCCAGAGTCTGGGGTAAAGTGGTAAATAATGGATGAAGCCAAGAGCATCGCCGTGGCTGCCGGATGAATCACTTCTCCCCACTGTACAACTCTTCCTCTGGACACCTTCCTAAGGCTGACTGCTAAGGTAAGGCTGGCAGAGTCCAACACAGCACTGAGAACAATTACATACATTTGCAGGGGGAGGGAGCCCTCCTAGCTGGCCAAGCAGCCTTTGACCTCGGGTTTTCCATAAGAAAAGAAAAGCCTATGAAAAGGACTTTCCCCCAAGCCCAGGAACTGGTGGCCACATGTGCCCATGACCTCCAGAGCACCCTGGCTCTGGCTGCTTCCTTACCCGCAGCTTCTCCTCTGTCTTGGTGGACTGCTTACAGTCGGGATGCCACACGGTAGAACCTGAAAGACACAATGAACCTCTGGGAATACAGGAAATGGAAAGAAGGCACAGTTCTGTGGAGCAGACCTTCCAGAGCAGCTCAGACCCCCTATCCCCAGAGGAGGATCCCACGCCTATGTGACCTATGACCCTGAAGTCAACTCTATTCTCTGGGTGAGTTCTGAACTTGTTCTACATAAGGCACAATGGAGGCCACAGAACCGGGCCTGAGAGCAGGTTAAGGGAAGAGATGTTTTGCTCTTAATGGGTTACTTTTCCTTTTTAAAAGATACAATTATTCTTTAAAAGTAACACATGAGGAGGGCAGTGGTGGTTCATGCCTTTAATGCCAGCACTCAGAAGGCAGAGGCATGTCAGTCTCTGAGTTTGAGGCCAGCCTGGTGTACAGAGAGAGTTCCAGGACAGTCAGAGCTACACAGAGAAATCCTGTCTCGAACCCCTACCCCTACCTCCCCCAAAAAGTAACACGTGAGTGCTTACTACTAGGTCCATTTATTTTCAGAATTTAAAACTATGCTTACATAATGTCAAAACATCCAAGTCACTTTATCAAGAGAAGTCAAACTAGATAGACTATGTCTAGGTGTAAAACCTGACTTTTTCATTTATCCACATCTATAGTTACCCACACTTAGATGACTTTTTCACTCATCCACATCTATAGTTACCCACACTTAGATGGGAAATCAACTGACAACGTTGTTGAAGCTAGTTTATAAATCTTTCAACTTTTTCATTAACTAAAACAAAACAAAACAAATAAACAAAACCCCCTTTGATTTAATTCATCAAGTCATTATCTGGGTGGCATTTCCTGCTCCTGCTCCATTATCTGGGTGGCATTTCCTGCTCCTGTTCCATTATCTGGGTGGCATTTCCTGCTCCTGCTCCATTATCTGGGTGGCATTTCCTGCTCCTGCTCCATTATCTGGGTGGCATTTCCTGCTCCTGCTCCATTATCTGGGTGGCATTTCCTGCTCCTGCTCCAGGATCCCCTGTTCTCAGACTACGAAGAACTTTCATGGGCGACATAGGTACCAAAGAATTAAAAAGCTTAAAGTCCTTATCTCCAAACTCCAGACCTGCCATGACTGTGTATGACTAGATATGCAATAGGTGTCATACACATGTATGACTGTGGGAGAGGATGGTATGTAAATTCTGTGTCCACACATGGATTTCTTCAGAGGTTTGGAGGGACTGAAGAACACAGCTTCGGAAAGACTCAAGCTAGTGAAATCACCGGATGGAAATTAGTGATTGTTACACCTCAGAGACTTGAAACCAACACCAGTCTTTGTGTAGACATAGACATCGGTCTCCCAAGCAGTAACCTGTGTGCACCATAAGCCACCGAATTAACTCGTGAATGATCTTTACTTCTATCTTAGTTAGGGTTTCTATTACTGTGAAGAGACACTATGTCCATGGTAACTCTTATAAAGGAAAACATTTAATTGAATGGCTTACAATTCAGAGGCTCAGTCCACTATCATCATGGTGGGACATGGTGGCGTGCAGGCAGACGTGGTGCTGGAGAGGCATCTGAGAGTTCTACCTCTTGCACAGGCAACAGGAAGTGATCTGTCTCAATGGGCGTGGCTTGAGCACATATGAGACTTCAAAGCCCACATCCACAATGACACACTTCCTCCAACAAAACCACACCCACTCCAACAAAGCCACACCTCCTAACAGTGTCACTCCCTTTGGGGGCCATTCCCTTCAAACCACCACAATGCTGAGCTAAAATACTATCAAAGACAAGGAAATATATTCTACTTCAGAATAATACTCCAATCTCTATTGAATAATCATGTCTACTTTGCATCACAGAAAAAGAAGAGGAGGAGGAGGAGGAGGAGAAAAAGAAAAAGATAAAAGGAGGTTGGAAACAAACAAAAAACAGACCAACACGCAGGTCCCTTCAGCATTGACACTGGCTCAAACTCTGACTACAAAGCACAGGAAATCTCTCAACGTCTCAGGAGAACCAAAGGGGGTCGGGCTCAGGCCAGGAGAAGCATTCTCTGGAAGGTTCTACTAAACAGGAGGCACCAGACAGAACACAGAGTCTGCACACAATGCCAGCATTGTCCTCCAAGGGTCACACACACTGGGAATGTGACCTGAGTCAGCATCAGATGCCGAGGAAATGAAGCTTATTCTCAAGGATGCATCAAGAGGGCAGGCATCAGGTAGCACAGCTCCACTCCAGAGGAGACTGAGAACCACCCCTGGGGTTCGGAATGCAGCTCATTTGGGAGGTGAACGTATTTGTGCGCAGTCTGAACCCTGTTTAGCATCTGGACCCTATGTGAACATCCAGTTCACACCACACACCTGTTTCTCCGCAGACACAGACTTGGGAGCATATAACCGCCGCACTAACCTAACATCTAAAACTAGGCCTGGGGATACACTGGGAACTAATCAGCTTTCTGCAAAAATGCAAAGTGACACCTGCCCATTGCCATTGCAGATGTATGACTAGTCCATGGGAAAATGTGGCCTATGAAGCCCCTAGAGATCACAAAGGTGGCACCTGTCACTTGCCACTTTCAACACTCAGTGGTGTGTTTCACCACAATTTTTCAGAGCAATCAGGCTAACCCTGAAAAGGCACTAAACTTGCCGTTTTTAGACTCGTGAGCATTTTTTAAGGAGAGAGTAGTCAAGCCTGTGTTTTAACGTTCGACACTCATGTCTAGAGACTTTGCTTTGTTGCACAAAAACAGAACTGTGAAAGCAAAGCAAACCATTCATTAAAATCACACATAGTGTTTTAAGTGTAAAGAAGAAGGAAGAAATGACATGCAGAGGCCACCAAGACCCATAATTACCAAGCCAAACAAGCAATCGTTCTTACAGCTTGAGCTAATTGTTCTGATAAATCTTTGTCTAATTAATGACTCTTCCAGCTAAAAATAGCAGAATGCTTACAGTTATGGTGTTGTTTGACTGGAAGAGAATCTGTGCCTATGGCTTCTCCAAGAGGCTTTGGAATTTTAGAAGGTATCAGAATCAACCATAGTTTCACACTGGAGACATTTATCAAAATAATAATAATAATAATAATAATAATAATAATTTTTACCTTTTTAGAGCTTTATTGAGGGGGGGACAGAGAAAGAAAGAGAGGACAGACAGAAGGAGAGAGAGCAGAAAGAGAAGGGGCTCAAAATTATTTTTAATTAAAAAACCGTTATGGGTCTTTGGGAATGAAGACTTCCTTGTTACCACAAGTATCTTACCCTTGCAGGGACTGTGGGTCCCCTTTCAGTCTCTATCTCCATATGAACTGTGTCCTCTTAGTGGGTGGAACAATGGCTGTGATGTCAGAGGCCAGCAGGCTTGGACCTCAAAAGGCCTCCCTCAAAGGGCAGTGAAAGGAGGAAAGACAGGGTGGCCATCGCAAACCAACACTTCCTGAAACTTCTAAAATACTTTCTCTCTCCTTTTGATCTTCTGTTTCCCTAAACATACTCCTGGGATGAGTTAGAGGAGCACCTGCTGGTCTTCACGGTCCCTCACATCCACAGGATCAGAAGTGAGTCTTTCCAGCAGTACCATGAGCTCATTCCCTAACAGGCTCTGGGGCTCACTGCCAGCATATCATTTGCTTGCTGATTAACACAAGCTGACAGGTAACTTCTGGTACACTCCTGCTGAGTAACCTCTCAGCTAATAAAATCCCTCCTTCTCTAAAACACAATCCAACAAACACAGAGAGATCATCTTTTCAGATGTGGCACACCCACTCTGCTCTCCAGTCCATCTTACCTTGAAGATACATTTCTTCCCCTTCTGTGAACATCTGGTTGCATCTGCTGCATCGTGCGCAGCTGGGGTGATAGTGTTTGTCACCTGCCTGCAAGAGAAAAACAGAAGATGTCACGCTCACCCCATTAAATGGCTCCTACACCCTTTTCTGGATTTGAGGGATTAGAAGAAAAGAGAAGATTTCAGGAAGAAAAAATAACTGTCAGGTTGGCCAAACTCCCCATCCCATCAGTCCTACATGGTAAAGCCGACCTCACTGGGCCTGGACAGGGCTCTCGGGGCATTCATTCCCAGAATGATGGTGGCCTTGTCTCTTGGGGTTTCTGGCTCCTAATCCCTCCTTGTCTAGGCTTTCTGGAAGGTTTGCCAGTCAGACAACTCAAACTGGGGAGATGTCTACTGTGTCTTCCCTAAACTCCGCCTTGCTAAAGAAGGGTAATATTAACCCACTAAAAAGAAGTGGCGGGGCTGAGGAAAATGCTCAGTTAGTAAACTGCCTGCCATACAAGCCTGAAGAACCAAGTCCAGTCCCAGTGAATCCAGGTAAAGAAGCCAAAGAGGTACCAGAGAGGTGGAGACACATGGATCCCTGAGCTCACAAGCCTGCCTAACCTACTTGGAGAGTTCAAGGCCAAGTGATAAAATCTGTCTCAAAAAGCCAGGTGGATGGAGCCTGAGGATAACCTCTAGCCTCCAGGTGCATACATACACATGTGCACACCCACATGTATGAACACACACCTATAGACACAAATAAAAATGACCCGATTTAGCGTATTTTTGCTTTCTTGGCTATGTTATCGGAAAATAATCGATTTTGTACCAAGGAAAGAAAAAAATCCTCTTAAAAGATATCATTTATTGCTTTTGTCTTAAAACTCAGATTCTCTTCTACGCTGTTTACATCCATGTTTGGACAAGGTCTTATTGTAAGAGTTCCCAGAGAAAACACTTTACTGGAGTGGTTCTACAGAATTCTGTAGCACTTTACATGCCTAAATATGACAGGTGTCATCACAGCAAGTGTCAGCTTCCCAAGGCAAAGTGTCATTGGACACAGGGACAGTTCTCTAGACAGGTGTCAGGTCACATTAGTGTCATGGTCCAAAAGCAAGCCTGACCGAAACAGGACCCTTCACTCATGGCTTAGCAAAGAATCTTCCTTCACCTCAGAATGATCAACTATGCTCTGCAACTAAGTCATTTTTATCAGCCAATTGTGAAAGCACTTCTTTTGAACTAACCATGGGCAGTGGCAGGGCTGAGAAAGAGAAGCGGCTGCTTCCTGCTCCTGACCCTGTGTGAAGCCTCAACAGGAAGTCAGGGGCTTGGCCTGATTCCTGTCTCACATCCTCTTGTGGAAACTACAGACGCCCTCATCAGCCGCATTGAGAGGGGTTGCAAGGCTACTCAAGACGCTTAACCAGAAAGAAATAGTAGAGGTATGTAAAATAGAAGCTGGGACATGACAGCTTTCAATGGCATCTGCCAGAAAAAAAATCTCAGAACTGGTGATCTTGTAGTCTACCAGCTATTTCTTATTAATTTAGAAACTTCACATTTTATGTGGGGGAGGATTGTGGGACAGGGTTGCAAGTGGCAAGAGAAGTTAAGAAGTATGAATATAAAGTGGCTTTGACCCTTAACATCCACAAAGTCAGGTGTGGGCAGAAGGAAGAAGTAAGCTTTCACTCAGTTTCCAAGCCAGGCTGCGATGTCAACGCAGAGGGTCAAGTTAGTTTGGATAATCTCTGGGTCCTCACGGAAGTGAAGGGTTAATAAGTCCTTGGCAGGAATCTGCTGTCAGCTGCGGTAAAATGCACAGCCCTCAGTGAACTACAGACACAAAGAATTTCTCCAGGTGGGTAAAGTTGTTTTGCCTTCGCTAGTGAAACGCTAGAAAATTCTAATTAGGCACAGGAATAAGACAAAGATACACGTTTACCAATACATCCTAAAGGTTTGCAGCCCAGGCCAATGTGAGAAGTCAAGAAAAATAAGTAAGTGTAAAAAGGTCACCAATAAAAGAATTAAGTAGAAACCCCCCCCCACACACACACACACACACAATTTCTTATTCATGGAAATGCCATGGAAAATGAGTCCCCATTTTAATAGTAACAAATAAACCATGCAAAACAAGATGTGTGTAAAGACAGGTACATAACTAAAGACCTTAACAGAAGTAACTCAAAATGTTACTAAATATTGTCAAAATGCTGATTTATCTAAATCAACCTGTTAATGCAATATATTCCCAATGAAAAGGCCCCACAGCCATTTCCTCTATCATCATTGGCAGAATGCTTCTACACATGCATATGAAAGGAAACACAAAAATACAAACTTATTTTCAAAAAGAGACCAGCAAAGAGAGGGGAGTTTTCCTTCTTGATTTAAAAGTTGTAAGGCTAAGATAACAGCCTGAACAGCATCATGGAACATCAGAGCACAGACAGTGGAAAAAGCTGTGTGTGCATACACACAAGAGAATTTACTTGATCATCAAAATAAATTCCAAATACATTAGAATAGTAGGTTTTTTCAATAAATGATGAGCACAATTGGTTGTCCATTTTTTAAAAAAATCTTGATTCCTTATACAACCAATTAAAATTTTTTATGGAGTTTATAAAGACCAAAATGGAAAAAAATAGAATTATTGGGACACACAGACTTTTAAAAAATTGTTTATTAAAAAATAAGCAGGGTCAAAAGACAAAATTTAGAAACAACAAAGGGAAATACTGATCTATGTACAAAAACACAGATCTCTAGACAGAAAGTTAAGAGAGATCACACAAAAAATTTGCCACATGTTTCTTGCAAAGGATTGGTAAGAATGTATAAGGAGTGCCAGTGAGAGACATAAATGCCAATACGGTAAAGGGCAATTGCCAAAGGAAATGTGAGTGGTTCACAAAAAATCAACAACAGGGCAGGAGGAGGAACGTGAGGAAGAGGAGGGAGGGAGGGAGAGAGGGAGGGAGAGCGGGCAAGTTAGTTAGCATGTTAGTAAGTTCGTTCAAGTTAGTCAGTTATTAAGTATAGTTAGTTAGTAAGCAAGTTAGTTAGTTAGTTAGTTAGTTGGTTCAACCCTCGCAGTGATAACCAGGAAAACATGGGTTTGACTTGTTTCGTCAACCTGGTAAGGAAGAAAAGAAAACCATCGTGTTGAAGTAGCTGGGGACGCTGTACACTGTGGTGACCAAAGAGGAGAGAAAGTGCATTGTCGAACTGTCGCAGAGACGGCGGAGGGTGTGCCAAGGCCACGCGGCAGGCTCCAGTCTGTAAGTCAAACCGTCACACTGAAAGGGAGAGACATCTTCCCCCACGTCCTTGTTCGCGAGGCCAAACACGGCAACAGATTCCTGTCAGTCACCACACAAAGAGCAGCCTAGGGTCCTGGAGACTTCCTCCATCTCGGAAACAGAGCAGGCCTGAGGGCTCGAGGACAAGAGCCCCTCCTCCGTGTGGGTGAGCCGCCGTGACTCCTGTTCCCTTTCTCGATACAGACACCCACGACAGTTCACAGGCAAGCCCCGTGTACCGGAAAAGAGTCAGAGTTGGACACACATGCAAACCGAGCGAAACTCAGATGTAGCTGAACCCCAAATCATTTAAATTGGAGTCATTTTTAGAAGGGAAAGTTTTTCAGATTATGAGCAATAGATACCAAATGGAGAGCAAGCATGGCTTATTCTAGAGAAGGCTGGCTTGTAAAGCACAGCTGGGGCTCTGTGGTGGCAGGTGGCAGTCTGAGTGGTGGTGTGCCTGGTACCAGGCTCCAGGCACACAGCTTGCTACTCTAGCTGTGTCTAAGTCTGAGAGACCAGACATGTCATTGCATGCCAGAGCTCTGGCAATTCCATTCTCCACTAAAAAAAAAAATAATAAAAAATAAAAAATAAAAAATAAATAAATAAATAAATAAATAAAAAATCGGAAAATCTGACAGACATGGAGGCTCACAACCTGTAATCCAAGCACTTCGGAGGGAAGGGAAGAGGGCTGCCAGTCACCCGAGGCCTACAGTGAGTCACAACCCTTACAACTGCACACCAGCCTTATAACTGCTTAAAATACACATTAAAACAGCACTCAGGGGCAGAGGCAGGCAGATCTCTGTGAGTTAGAAACAAGCCTGGTCTACACTGCAAATTTTAGGTCAACCAAGGCTTCATAGTGAGACCTTGCCTCAAAAACAAAACCAAGCAAACAAACAAATCAAACAACAATAACAACATTTTAAAGATTTTTAGAAATTTATATTAAAAGCTACACTCTAGCGAGCATTAGATGCCACAAGAAATGCAATTTGATTATTTAGCTGAATTTTTGAAGTGTCTTCCTACACATCCAAAATGCTAAACATATAAAACCAAATAAAAACCAAACAAGCCACCTGCCCTTAACAGTGCTGAGCACGTCGATGGTTATTATATCATTTGGCCAATCCCTAACTCAGAGCTAGAACTCTGAGGAAATGCTATCTATTGTAAGGTTTAATGCAAGATACCAAGTTTTTATTAGACCCATGGCTGTCTGGAAGAGAAGGAAGAAGTTTTCAATTCCTTATGGACATGGAGCAGCTCCAAGGCTTGGGAATCAGTTCTTGGTACCCACAGAGCCTCAATTCTGTTACTACCTACCTCCCTAAGCCCTGGGACACTTTCTGAAAAAGTGTCGAGTAGTGTCAACAACACAATTTCACCTCCCACTCAGATGTAAAATCCTGCTTGTGTGTGAAACCCCACATTACTATACACTCCTGAACAGGGTTGGGGAAAGCCACGTGGGTAGGGAGAGACATCCCTGGTGGAAGGAACAGAGCTTTGCCAGATACTCCCTCCTGGGGATTCTGAGGCCCTGACTAGCCCTGGGCTGACTGAACAGGCTACAGGCCAGAGGGAAAGAGAACCACAGTTATGGAGCCCTTCCTGGGCCCAGAACCTTCTAGATTCCAGGCTGCCAACTGTCCCTGTTAGCTTCTCTTTTTCCTCTTCCTGGAGTACACTACTCAGGCCCAACTCCTTGAGGTTGACCTTTGTCAATTTATCACGTATGTCCTACCTACTTTGAGAAGGA